CACCAAAGGACACCCTGAAGAACCAGCTCCAGTATTGCTGTGGGCAAGAAAAGACAAAAAAAAAAAAATCTGCTAAAACAAATTTTGCTTAAAGAAAAACCCCAAAAACAAACAAACAAACAACAAACAAACAAACAAACAAACACCAAAAAACAAAGACAAACACAAAAAACCAAAAAAAAAAAACCACCAAAAAATTGAGTAGCAACGAGGACGAGGTGGCCGAGTGGTTAAGGCGATGGACTGCTAATCCATTGTGCTCTGCACGCGTGGGTTCGAATCCCACCCTCGTCGGGTTTCCTGTGAGCCCTCCCTTGAAGAATGTCTTTTGTTGTAGCTTGCCCCATATCCTTCTCCCTCCCTGTTTTGCTCTCTTGTGTTAAATACACATTACACTTGCTCCTGGATTGCTGCTCCCACGGGCTGAACCTGCTCATGGTAGCTCAGGGACTGGTGTGGCCCTTCTGTGCAATACCCCATGGAAGCAGGGTGCCTGAGCCCACCTGCCAGCCTCTCCCCTGCCATCCCATTGCCTCTTCTCCAGGAGCATTGAACTGTAGGCAGGGAAGGTCAGGACTGGGCATCCCTGGGCATGCATCCTCAGGGATGCCACCCTGGATGTCTCTGGTGTGTCTCAGAAGTGCTTGTTCAGGGGATGGCAGAGCTACTGTGCACCTCCCTTCTGTGCCTGGAGCAGCACTCACAGATATTCCTGGAGACAAGAGAGCATAACTGATGCCAAGATGAAGAGGAAAGAGGTAAAACTACTTCTGGAATCTCAGTGGTCTTGCAGAGAGGAAATCCCTGCATTTGGCAGTCTGTATTTTGAGGCACCTGGGGAAAGGTATTGTGCCAGTCTTGCCAGTGCCTTCTCGTTTTCCCCTCTACTCCTCTCCACCGATGAGGATGTGGCCAAGCAATGCCATGGCTTCAGAGCAAGGTGAGGATGCTCGGGCTTAGCTGCCCACACCTTTTTGACCTTCACTGTGGCTACATTTCCTTCCCATGCCTTGGGAAAATGTCCCTGGGTACCAGTGAGAAGCTGCTTCCCTTCACCAGCGTCTCCTGAGCCAGAAACCATGACCAGGCTTCTGGGAAACAGTGGCTCCATCCCATTCCACTACCGTGAGATCTTGTGGTGCTTGGCCAGGTCTGCAGCCCCAGTAAAGGGGGATGTCCCTGCCTGGACAGCCAGGTGCCCTGCAAGGGATCTGTGCGAGATTTCCTGGGGAAAATGCATTCATTTGGGTCCAACCCTGCACAGAAACCAGCTTGCGGCTGGAGATGATGAAATGGACTGTGGCTGTGGGTACAGAGGCATGCAGGGGGATTGCTGTCACAGGATGGGACCTGGGACTTGAAAGGCACAGACAGCCAGGAGAGGATCCCCACTGATTCCCCTGGGACACCCTTCGATCCTGCCCTGGCACACACATGTCCCTGTCATGGTGAGCGGTGACGAGTCCTCCTGAAGGGAATGTGCCACTGTCAGGGGTGCTGGGGGGCATCAGCCCACCCAAGGGACCTGGCAATTACAGGGATCCTTTAACAGCATGGAACTGGATCATCTGCAGCCCCGGGACAGTGCCTGGCAGCCGGAGCCTGGCTCTTCCCAGTGGCACCCCTTGGGCTCCCTGGGCTGCACAGAGTAGCCCTAGAGCACACCAAGTCTGCTTTGGCAAGGACACAGGCAGCCAGGATGATCTGGCTGCATCAAGATTCTGCCTTCTGGCACTGGGGTGTCCCACTCATCCATCAGCCATCTGGGAGTGGTCTCTGACTGTCCTGCTGCCAGGAGGCAAGCCCTGAGTGAGCGCCCTGGATGCAGACATTCCTTGGAGATGGGATGCTGTAAGCCTGTTGCTGCTCCAAGATGTGCCAATGCCTTTGGCTCTCAGGAGAAATTTTTGGACAGGGGTAAGCTCCCACCCTCCAGTCAGTCTCAGATACATCCGACCCTTGGGTTGTTGGAAATCAAAATGCCAAGTGCTACTGGGACTGGTGATAGGAAGGCAAACACATGGATTATTGATCCTGGGCCATGGTTTTTTTTGTCCTTATCTGCAGGAAGGGGCAGGGCTGAGGTGGCCACACATCCTGGATCCATGCAGAAGTTAAGAAAATGGATCTGACATGTTTCATTTGGTGAATTTTTTTCAGGTTTGAGGTTCGTCAAGAGAAAGTCACATCTCAAGCAGAAAGTGCTCATTCCCTGAAATGAATATGGATTGGAAAAGTCAGTCTTTGTTTATCTCCCAGATATCTGCCCTTTCCCCTATTGTTTTCCTTTTTAAAAATTCAATCACTACACAGATCTGATTATTTTAACTTCCTAACATGTGCCTTTTGTTTCCCCTGCTGTATTTTCTGCAGTCCCCTGCTGGAAAAAAAACTTGTTTCTGTCCACAGATCTGCTCACATTCGACAGCATTTCCCCTCTGAGTGCCCCATTGCAGCATTTATCCCAAGCATCACTGCATCTATGGATATTATTCTAGGACATGGTGGCCAATGTGAGCAGAACTTCCAGTGCTTAAACTGGATTTCAAAACTGAAACACACAGTGAAGCTGCAGTTCCAAATATCCCACCCTATGCCTGGAAGCCTGCAAGGGAGTCACCCAGGAAGGGTTGTTTTCCTGAGAAAATGGGATTGCACAGAGACACAGAACAAAAAAATCCAAACAAACCAGATTTGTAGAAGAAGGGTTTTGCTCTCAGGCTGTCGGTCCAAGGTGCACTTGTGGCACCAATTTATTATTCAAGAGTGGTGCAAAAAGCAGCACAGTAAAGCCTAAACTAAAACCTCATATTTTCCTGCTTGCCAAGTCACCATTTAGGAAATCATGAATGATGAACCCACAGCATCCTGCCTTACTCCAGGAGCTGCCAGGTTGCTTCTCCCTGAAGCCCATGTCCTCTGCTGAACCTCAGAAAACCTGATTTTTTTCCCTTCCAGAATGATGTTAAAAAAATACTTGAGTTCAATCTCAGAACCTTGGGAAGTCTTTGTTGCCCTGACAGGCAGGCAAAGAGGAGTCACTAGGGACCATTCAGTGTGATCCATTGTGGCCAAGTCACCTCAAGAACTCAAATGACTCCCCAAACCCCACAAGGCACATTTTTGGGCCACACACACACACGGTACATGTGTCCCAGTACTGTCAGGGTTTATTCCAGGGCAGGAGATGTTTGCACTGCCAGTTGGGCTCTGCTGGTGTGAAATGAAAAGCCTCTTTCAAACTTTCCTTGCCTCTAGAGCTCATGATGGCTCATCATGGTCCTGCCTGGGACCACATCAGCAATTCCCTCTCCCCACTGTCAGGGTGATTCACGTTTAAGTGCAGGTTGAGATGTTTGGGATGTTTAGTAGCTAACAGGCTTCCAGCAGAGCAATCCTTGATCCCCAGTGTCACACCAGAGCCTTTAATTACTGGAATTAACCCTGTCTTGACTATGTCACTCCATCACAAGGAAGGACACCTGTGACTTTTTGTCTCACTGCTACCACCCTATCCAAAGAGTGGGATGGGGGCCTCTAGAAAGTCAGCTCCCTGCACAAAATCACAAAATCAGCTAGTTTAGGTGTGTATCAGCTGTGGGGCTGGACTTCAGAGCCCATGATCACTTTGCTTTTAAAATCTGATGTGTCTTCCAAGCAGGACTTATGCTCCAGCTGTGAGNAAAAAAAAAAAAAAAAAAAAAAAAAAAAAAAAAAAAAAAAAAAAAAAAAAAAAAAAAAAAAAAAAAAAAAAAAAAAAAAGAAAAGGAAAATCCTCTAAGTGCATCCAAACCCATAACAAATTGCTCATGATGGGCTTGTGTCCACATCGCTCATGTCCTCACTCCTGCAGCCCCTCAGCTTTCCTGCCATCCATGAGCCTCCTAGCACAGGATTTCAATACAAATGGATGTTCCTTACATTCAGTTTACATCGCTGGTCTCACCTCAGGTGCATCAGGGAGCTGAATTGGTTGTGCTGAGAGGAAGGTGGGGATGTCTGCTCTAAATTCTACTGAAACACTATCCTGCCTGGTGGCATAAAGACCTAAAATGTCCCTTGGCCTTAGGAAGGAAGGTAATGAATGCCTGTAGCCCAAATAATTTCAATCTTACTCAGTATTACATGGAAGAAAACATGAGAGATGAAAGAGGGAACTGCTTAATCAGTCAGGGGAGCTTTCCAGGAGAAAACTGATGGTTGTTGGGGAGTTTAAAGATGAAGGCACACACCCACTCCCCTGGGGGCCTGGGCCACCCTATAAAACTGTGCAGACAGTGCTTGTCCCCACCACCTGCTCCAGCTGCCACCACTGCCACCTCCATCTGGGTAAGTCAAAACAGGCTCCATCTGCTTCCCCACCCCTCCCTCTTCCCTTCCAGCTGCACAAGACATCAGGGAAGGGTGTATTTCTGCCCTAAAATGAAGAGTGCAAGGGGATGCACTCTGCAGGATGCTGGGCTTACAGGGTCTGCAACTACATAATCAGTTGCATCCTGCATGATTTTTCTTGCCGAAGCAGAAAAACAAATTAGAACTGCACATGCCTGGGTTGCAGAGATCAACGTGTCCCTGTTTATGGATGTGCATCAAATGTCCCATATATTTTGCGATGGGATGTCTCAATTCACGTTGTGCTGATTTAAGTGGGTTTTGCTTCAACCACATGCATCTTGTGACCACCTTGCTTGTCAAAGGCTCCCCGTTAGCTCAGAGTAGGAGTGGGTCTGCTCTCTGGTCCTAGCCCCTGGTGCCTCCAGCTTTCCCAGACCAACCTGCAGCTCAAACAAAACTCCCCTCATTCTCCCGAGTGGTTTATGGGGCAAGGTGGGGGGAAGCTTTCTTTGATGTTTCTAAACCCTTCAAATTCACTCTATAGCTTGCTCTCCCATGCCTCTCAGTATGGGAGGTACTGCGTGAGGGCTCAACAGGGACAGACGGGCCTCTGCATTGCTTTTACATCCCAGCTCTGGCTTTCAGGTGCACATCCTTGCCGAACCATGTCCTGCTACGACTTGTGCCTGCCCTTGTCCTGTGGTCCCCGGCCCCTGGCCACCAGCTGCAACCAGCGCTGCTTCCGCCGCTGTGAGGACTCCACTGCCTTCATCCAGCCACCCACAGTCGTGGTGACGCTGCCCGGGCCCATCCTCAGCTCCTTCCCTCAGAGCACCACGGTGGGCTCCACGGCGTCGGCAGCGGTGGGGAGCTACCTGCGCCGCTGCGGCGTCCCCGTGGGCTCCCGGGGCCCGGGCAAGGCAGGACTGCTGTGCCTGGGCGCCGGGCTGTAGGGTGTCCCAGCAGGCTCCTCCTCCTGCCCATGGGTGGTCAGGAAAGGCAAGGAAAGCACGCCACCAAGACTGGGGGAGAGGACTGAGGAGATGCCCCTGGGTTCCCCAGCAGCCACCCCAGGAGGACAGTAACCATGTGAGCTCGTCACTCCAAACCGTGCCTCTGTACACCTTTATCTCACTTAAGTCTTTATATTTCCATGTTCTATACGGCATTTGCTGCTGGCTGGGCAATAAATGCTTCTAGCAGGCTGTAGATGGCAGATGACAATCATGGGGTTGTGGGGCGAGGGGACACCTTGTAGGATCAGCTTGCCCCAAAGTGGGGATATTTCTTTATTGAGCACTGGAAACACACTTGTACTCTGAACTGGTTCACTCTCCTTCTCATTAAAGACTTGCTACATCATAGCCTGAGTCTTCTGTTGTTCCTTGTTCAGGAGCCTGGAGGGGTGACCTCCTCTGGACGCAGCTTGTTGCTGCTGGGGAGGTTTAGTTTTTACATGAAACGGGGGTTTCTGCTGCCCAGCTCTTCCCTGTGCTGACAGACGTGTGTGGTTTGCCGGGACCAGCCCCAAGGCAATTTTCTTATTCTGGAAATCTCTCCTCCTGCCCCACGGCAAGCACCTGCTCAGGGAGGAATTCCTGCAGGAGCACACTTTATTACCAGTTACCTCAAGGACCTGGGAATGTGTAGGTTTGACATTTCAAAATTACATTTACTCTGCATTTTGCAGTGATATTTTGGGGGCCTGAGCTAAGGAGGTGGGCATGGAGTCAGGGAAAAAATGTAGAAGTGAGATTTTTGGGAGATGGGTTTCTTTGGATGGGCCCCCTATGCCAAGCTTACACAGTGTTTAATGGGTGGCAGCAAAGAGTGAAAAAGAAGAAACAATAATTACTTTATGGATAGGGGACACTAATGTCTCTGGAAGATGTCATGAACTGAGCAAAGCCTCTTTTTAAGATGCCATGGGCAGAACCTTTTCAGCTGATGAAAGGAGAAATAGGAATATTTGCATAAAGTTTGTGAGTGTTTACAATGAGTGATTATGCTGAGCTTGAAAGCCTAATGGTCATTAAAAGCCTTTAACCAAGCTCAACTGGTTTTATTGCCCAGAAGACCTTTGCTGAGGTGCTAATTTGGAGAAAATTTACATGGCAATTGCTCAGAAGTCAGTGCACCAGGAGAAGGAAGGTGTCTTGTTTCCAAAGACTGCTCAGATATTTTTATCCCAGCTCTGGCAATTGTCTGCAGAGATAGGATGCAAAATTTTGAATAAAAAATCACAAAAAGCTTTGAAATTCCAGCAGAAGTTTTGTTGGGAAGCTGTAGGTCTCTGGGCCTTGTGCAGCTGCCTTCCTCAAGCCTGCTTCACTGAACAGTCCAGGAGGGAGCTGGCGGACAGAACAATGACATTTTTATGTAGTTTTGCACTGAATGATTCCACTGGTGGGATTATATAGATTTTAATCTGTTTTTTGCTGAAAACCCAATATCTACAAAAATCTACACAGCTCCTTGAAAATGGTGGTGTCTTACTGCAGACAGCTGGGGAAATGAGGACCTCGGTGCCTTTCAGCACTGCCTATCCTGAGGCTTGGGGGACTCTGTCTCCCATGGTGGCCATGACTCCAGCTGAGAGCTGTTGCCTCCTTGGCTCCCAGCTCAAGAGCAGTCCTGAATTCACCATATTTCCCCCCAAGCCAGCCCTTGCCCCAGGCAGAACCCCCCAGACCTGCTGATCAGGCCCTAAATAGAGGCAGGGCAGACAAAGGCTCCAGTGAGAAACACAGAGCTACATAACAAGACGGGGATGAAGAATATTGCTCAGCAGGTGGAAGGGAGGGAGCACATGGAGGGAAATAGTTGGGTCCTGGGTTTTCATCCCAGCATTGCCTACCTATAGCATTTAAAAGCAGCAGAAGCATTTTTTAGAAGAGCTTTGGATTATGGCCCAGATGCTACCCACTGGCCATGCCTGTTGATTTTTATGTCTCCTCCCCACTTCTCATCTTCTTTCAGCTGCTTCATGATCTTGGAGGAAACCTGCTCCCTGTGGTCATTCAGTATCCTCAGGCACCTGAAGGACAGGTACCTTCCCACCCTGGGGGTGGATGAGGTAAAAGGAGAGGGGAAGTTATGGTTTGAGGAGGAACAAACACAGAGACCTGTTGTGGGAAAGGGGAGATTGCTGAGATTGCAAGTTAGTGGGACCATTCATAATGGAGACTTTGCCTGTGGAGGGTTGGGGATAGAGGAAAAGATTCTTTCCCCAGAGGGTGGTGGGGCACTGACCAGGCTCCCCAGGGAATGGGCACAGCCCCAAGGCTGACAGAGCTCTGGGAGCATTTGGACAACCCTTTCAGACAGAGGGTGAGATGTCTGGGTGTCTGTGTAGAGCCAGGAGTTGGACTTTGATGATATTTACGGGTCCCTTCCAATTCAGGATATTCTATGATACTATGGAAGCCCCAGGCAGCATGGTGCTGGTAGTAGGGCTGGGACTGGCGGTGGTTGGATGATTCGTGGGACAACACAGCACATCAATCTGCAGCTTCTCTGTACATCCAGGTGAAAAGACAAAAATCGTGGTGCATCACAAGCAGTGGGAGAGGATGAAAAGACAGATCTACCACCTGTGCCTTTTCTGGGTTGCCAAAGGTTTATTCCAGACTGGCACTGGGGCACTGGGCTGAGGGCAGTGCTGGGAGGGTGAGTTGCATCAACAGACAGCATCCCTCATCCTCCGCACTGGGGCAAGGACTTCTGGCCAGAGCACTTGGGGACATGCCTGGAACCAGCCAGGTGAGAGAGACAGAGCCCCTGGGGCTGGGACCCTGCAGGCATGGCAAGCAGAGAGATGGGACTTGTGTGGCCAGTCCCTGGATGTGTCCAAGGCCAGGCTGGATGGAGCTTGGAGCAACCTTCCAGATTGAGGAAGGGGAGAGAAAGTGGCTGCATGGCCAGGATAAGAGAGAGGAGAGGGCACCGCTGAGGATACCTCACCCCACACACCCATGGATCAAGCACAGGGCAGGGACTCAGGGTGCCCTGCCTGCCACACCTGGGGAGCCAGACAGACAGTGGCTCTGCCAAGGGCTCTGGCTCTCCCCCAGGGCTGGAGGTCCCATAAAACAGGAAAATAACAGCCTGCCCACATGTGTGAGTCAAGGGGGAAGAAGCAGGCAAATTAAAAGGCACAGGCATGCTGGTCTGGCCCTCCTGGTGCTCCCTGTGGGAATGGGGCTCACAAGACTTGCATCCTGCAGCCCTGTTGGCTCCACCAGCACTGTGTCACCCTGAGCCCACATCACCAGCAGACATCGCTCCTGGCTGTCCTACACCCTCCTCTGCTCTGAGTTTTTGCTGTGGAGGGCAGCCCTCAGGGAGAGACTGGAATGAGCACAATGAAAGTCGAGCCCAGATCCCAATGGTTTGCAGGGTCCTGGGATGGAATCTAAGTTTAAAAACTCAAGAATTGTTTGATTAAACATTCCAGAACTGTTAATTCACGTTTGCTGAGAGGTGTCTGCCTACCTCCCAAAGAGGAGAAGTGTGGTGTGGTTATTGCTATGTGGGGTAGCTCCTGTCAGCACTGGTTATGTGGGGTTGAAGGAACTGGGTGTCTGTGGGAGGTTACAAGACCTGGAAATCATGGGGTGCAGTGTTTCCCTTTCCTGCTCCCCTACACCCCTCTGTGATATGAAAGGCTGTGGCTGAATCAGCCTCCCCTCAGTTCCCCTCAGTCGGTTCAGGGAGATTGGATGGGGGAGTCTCTGCACCGGCAGCGCCATGTGTTACAGTTGGCATTGGGGGCTTGCTGCTGTCTGCAAATCATCTCCTTGCACTGTTCTTCCTGTGTGAAGGGGGATCCCCAGCAGCTGGGGCTCCTGCAGCAGCTCATCTTCCCACCCAGCACAGCTACAGGCAGCCGAACCCTCAGGAACTATGTTCTGGAAAATTGCCCATGTCTTGCCCTTGAACTGTGCCCCTATGGCACCCCATAGGAACACCAGTGCCCTGCTGACCCCCATGGGAGCTGGTAAAAAAGAGCAGCTACCCAGCACTCACAGCTCTTGTCCATCAGGAGCCACGCCAAAGCCACACTGGGATCTGTGGGGCTGTGACAAGGATTGAACTAGGACTGGTCCCACATCCTGTCTTGGCAAATTCCTGCAGGCAGTATGGAGCTTCAAGGGTTGGCAGCAAAGGGCTACTGGAGCAAGGGATGTCACTCAGCAGAAGAGTGTTGCATGCAAGAGGCCCTGGGATCAACCCCCAGCATCTCCATGTCCTTCTGCCTCCCTGGACCTCTCCCTGCTGGGTGCAGGGCTGCCAGAGTCCCCTCAAAAGGCCCTGGGATTGCCTCGTGCCATGGATGGCCTGAAAATTCCTCCTCAAGGCTGTGGGTTTGCTGGGCAAAAGCACAGCCTCAGCCGTACCCCGAAATCCAAAGTGTAGGGCTGAGGAGGCAAAAGGGGTGCAGCACTCCAGATTGTTGGTGTAGGGATGTCTTGCACATTTGCAAGAGATCCTGAGTTCAACTCCTGGAAAACCCTCCTTTGGATACAGCCCCTTGTCCTGGTTTAGGGCAAATTTGGGAGAAAACCTCCAAAAAGGGCCCCCTCCAGAAAGCAAACCCACACGGCCCCTCCCACCAATTAGTTTGGGAAGAATTTCCTGGGAGAGAAGTGGAAAAAAACTGTTTATTTAGCAGGCAAAGCACTCCCCAGCACAAAAAGCGAACAGTACCAGATGACAAAACTCATTTGCTGCTCTGAAGAGATTGCAGACTCAGAAAATCTCTCCAGTGGATGGTGGCTCTGTTATCACTGCCTCCAGCACTGGGAATGGCTGCTGTCCTGAGCGGGCCCTGGTAGCCCACAAAGTGCGAGCTCTTGGTGTTTCCCCAGGTCCCTGTCTGGAGCAGGTTTGAACGGATCCAAGAAAAGGGAAAGAAAATCAGCTAGCTAAACTAAAACGCAAAGGAGGGCCC